CTGTGACCCACATATACATAAGAACAATGAAGTGATCTTATTCAGATAAAATGAGTTCACTCGTGTTTCACAAGAATGCAATAAATCTACTGAGTCTTTGTTTCACTGGCTGCATCACTGAACATCCAAATAAACACATGCCATTCAAATACCATACTTAGTCAATATATGTGCATTCAAGTGCTTACAGGTTTCTTAATACTAACTAAAACTTCTTCAAACATACTAAAAGCAATTATAATCATTGAATATTAAGTCTAATTAAGCATAATGTTGTAAGTATTGAGTAACAAAATATTGTGTACAAACAAGCTTACCTAGGAATGTCGTTCTCAATGGTTATACATCCGTAAAGAAACACTATAACTCCAACTACTGAAGACGGAATAAGGAATTCTGTATATAAACCCAACCATGCAAAATAGAGTCCTATTTTTTCTCCAAAATACTTTCTGAAATAGAAGAAAGAAAAAGAGAAATAAATATACACCAAAGGTATCCTTTTCATTAATGATTAAGGATTCTTCTCAAAAGTTTTTGCAAACAACGTTCAATAATTGTAAACAAACAAAAAGGGGAGAAGAGAACCTGCTTAAGGGAGCTTTGCTCCTGGTTTGAATGAGGCCAGGGTTTCATCTATGGCCCTAGCAGGAAATACTGCTGAATGCCCAGTTCTGCAACAACTTTCCCACACAAATATTCATTATTCAGCCAACTGCAGATGCACAACATAGTTAACTTATCTTACTGTGTGGCAAAATTACTCCATATCTAGGAGAGGGTGCAGGGTTAGCTCTCCCTAGCTAGCTGCCCACAGCAAGGGCTGCTAAAGCACTAGATGGTAGACAAGCCAGTTAGTTTTGTTGTTTTTTTTAAAATCCTTAGGTAGGTATTACTTTGAAGAGGAGAGCGAATGCACAACCAGTACACTGGTATAAATTATACTAGCGTACAGTTACACTTCATTTCATGTGTGGGAGCTTTACCCCAGACTGAAGGGACTAACACCAGTGCAAGGGCCTTGTCAGACCTTATGCTGTAAACTGAAAAAATGTTAATCATCTTAGCGTTGTTCAGCTTAGTGGAGCAGTCACACAGTAAGGGGAAAAACCTGTTTCAACTGCACCTCACCTTCACAACTGTGACTTTGCACTAGAGGCTTGGTGAGCAGGAGCAGGACTAGGGAAGGAGGGTCTCTCTGCTCCTGCCCAGCAGTGAGTGCCACAGCCCCGGAGCTCGGTGGTGCCTCCACTGCCCCTCGGGCTGGCTCTGTTCCAGACTTTACCTAGCCAGTCTGTCACGGGGAGGGGCAGGCTACCACCTCCCCAGCCCCACTTACACCAGCTCTGCGCTGGGAGCAGTGTGAGCCAGTTCCAGTGGGGGAGCACTGTCTCTCTTGCCCTCTCACACTGGCTGTGCTCCAGGAGCAGAGAAAGCCAGTCCTAGTCGGGGGTGGGGGAGCAACCATTTCCTGCCATCACTCACACTGGCTCTGCTCCTGGCTCTGGTCTGGGAGCAGAGTGAGCCTGTCCTGGCAGGTGGACAGAGCCAGGAGCAGAGTCAGTGTCAGCAGTGGTGGGAGGTGGTGCCCCCCTGCCAGGACTGCATCACTCTGCTCTAAGAGCAGAGCCATCCAAGGGGTGGAGGGAGCCATTGCTGCTGACAGACACTTTAGGACTGATCTGCTGGAGGTGCCAGGGGGTGAGGCGCTGCACCCAGCCCTGCTGTGCCATGCCTTTCCTGCTTGCCAACTGCCTCCTGAGATGCTGGAGGAATTCATCTTGGGTGGAAAAGCAATGAAGAGTGGCCACAAGTTAATGGAACAGGAACAAAATTAGGCAGCATTTGAGATAATCCTGCCCTGGAGTGGAAAACCTTAAGACAAATAATGAGTGCTTTAAGCCACTTAAAAGATGTTAGCGTGCAGCCAGTCTAGGAGTTAAAAGCTCCAGAAGCCACCTAAAGTTACCATGTAACAAGGCCCAAAGGCTTTGTGTTTTTTGTACCCTCTACTTATGCTACAGCTTAATTTGCTCCACAGGAAATGTGTTGTTTGTCCACACCCTTTGTAATCCTGTTGACATAAGAGTGAGGGATAAAAGGCTGACCCCAATGTGAATAGACTGATGAGACTTTCTGAGGCTACGTTAAAAAAACACAAATTCATAGTGTAATGGTATAAAAAAGCAAACGTAATAAATACTAAGAGAGAATATAGGAATATTAGGTTTAATAAAAGGAAGACAACAGCTACACCTAATATAACAGCCACACTTTTGGCTTGATTCTGGTCTCACTCATATTATGCAAAATTTAGCCTTGTTTAACCCCTTCAATTTATACACATTATTCCCAATTTGCAGTGGCTTAAATGAGGCCTTGGACTTCTGACCACAGTGAACAATAATAATTTAATGGGTGATCCCATTCTTCCTAATGGCAGAGCAGCTTTTGAGTTCAATGACAATGGTGGCAATCCTTTAGGAAGGATAACTGCAGTCATAAAAGGGTGGTTAGTACATAGTCTACAAAGAAACATTAGGATAATATACACACAACATATATAGCCTAGAAAAAATATATCATAAGTAGATCTGATTACTGAAAATGGGTTAAGGGTTGGGAAGAATGGTATGTTAGATGGTGTATATATATCACTATCTATTTATATATATAGAAATGTATTTCCCCTCCCCCCAGAAATCTCCTCTCTCACCTGTCCTCTCTCATGTGCTAATCATTGTGATTCAGACTGAATGGCTTCTGGATCAGTTTGCCTGTGAAGAGAAATGTAGTGACACAGCCAACGCCAACGACTGTGTCACTGTGTCAGGACTCCTGGACATTCATTAATTAAGGGTGCTGAGTCCTCAACCCAA